CATTTTCACGTGGCTCAACATAGCTTCCATATTGCCTAACATAGCCCCAGAAGTCACTATCTCAAGCATGCTTCCTCGAGATAGGGACTTCAACGTCGTAAACATGGCTCAACGAGGGCTCAAAAGGGACTGGAATAAAGTAAAGATATTGCCTAACATAGCCCTAGAAGTCATAGAAACTTGAACGAGCATAGCTTCCATATTGTCGAACATCGTGTTTTCTCGAAATAGGGACTTGAACGTCGCAAACATGGCCCCACGAGGGCTCGAAATGGACTGGAATAAACTAAAGATACGTCCCATTTGCCCCCAACATAGTCCAAGATAGCTTCAGGTAGGTGCACATGTGGCCACACCTGTCGTATAGCTGCATGTTTTGTCAGGCACAATCGAGCTCCGCCCAGGGGAGCTTGGGCGGTAGGTATTCAACGGGATCAAACCATCTACAATTCAACAGCCACAGCGTCGACCTTTCGCACATGCAAAACCATGACCTGTTGCTCCGAATCAAAACCAAAGGCTTCATTTGTGCATTGCGCCGAGCACTGTGCTATGCTCGCACCGACTCACAATGGCGTCACATCTACAGGGTGAAACATTGCATTCCTCCGGTCACGAGCCCTTTTCCCAGCATACTTCGAAGCACCTGCCACGACCCTTTAACACACCCAACTTACCAAATAAAACCCTGCCTTCTGCCCGATGAGGTGGGGCATGTCCAACGAACGGTATGCACATCCAGGAACTCCGGTACTGGCCGTAACAATGTCAACCTGTTGTCAATGCAGGTAGTGATAAGCTCGTGGTGCAGCAACTCATCTAGAGCGACATACCCAGTAGAATAGACATATTCATTGCGCCCCTCCCTCTCCACCACTTCTGCATAGTCTTGCAAACCTTGACGATGAACGTAACCATCGCCATAAAGTGTGATGACGCCGGTCTGCCCGTGGAACTCCACCACGCCGATCAAATGCTTAGCACTTGTAGGAGACTCAAACTCGTGCAAATGGTCCTTGAGGTATTCTTGGACTCGTTCATCAGAAAGAGTTAGGTCTACCGACGAATACTCCAACGCCCTGATGAGACCCATTGACCCAATCTGCAGCGAGCCCCTGCCTTGATGAGACCCATACCAAAATGGCTGCAGTCTTTGAGCCCAAGATTGTTTGAAAAGGCACTGTGACTAAAACGAACCCTGCCATGATCAACCATCCCACGCTGTTTCCATTGCATGTATTCTAACGTGATATCGTGCGCCATGTTCGTTTCATACTGCGTTCCTTGGCTCCAAGAGCGCAAGAACCCATTCCCGATCGTGATACGTCCGGCAGTGGTGGCGGCCCTTCAACAGCCACGATTGCTTGAAAAGGCACTCTGACTACCGAATACAGAACATTAACCCGCTCTGCAGCGTCATCCCCTGCCCTGATGAGACCCATTCCAACATGGCTGCAGTCTTTGAGCACAAGATTGCTTGAAGAAGCACTGTGACTAAAACGAACTCTACAACCTACACCTGTTTCGTATCTTCTACCAAGATCAACCTTACACTATCCAACGCTGTTTCCATTGCATGTGTCCGAACATGTTATAATATGCTATATTCCTTTCATACTGACTCCCTTGGCTCCAAGAGCACAAGTACCCGTTCCAGATCGTGTCACTTCCGGAAGCTCTCTAACCACTTACCCGACCCGCAAAATGGCTGCAGTCTTTTAACCCCACAACCACGATTACTTGAAAAAGCACTCTGACTCCAACGAACTCTACCAACGGCACCTGTTCCGTGACCATAGTGACTTCTAGGGCTATGTTAGGCAATCTTGAATTTATTCCAGTCCATTTTGAGCCCTCGTTCAAGTCCCTATCTCGAGGAAGCATGCTTGAGATAGTGACTTCTGGGGCTATGTTCGACCATATGCAAGCTATGCTCGTGAGAAAATCTTACCGTTCCTGGAAAAAGCTATGCTTGGTCACGTTAGGGGGGGTCTTTGTTCCAGTCCCTTTTGACCCCTCGTTGGGCTATGTTTACGACGTTCACGTCCCTATCTCGCAGACACGTCCTTTGGATAGTGACTTTTAGAGCTATGTTAGGCAATATCTTTACTTTATTCCAGTCCCTTTTGAGCCAAATATCCGGCGAACGTCTCGAGCTACCTGCGGAAAAGATACACCAATTTGCGACGTTCCCACATTCTAGCGCTATGTTAGGCAATATGGAAGCTATGTTCGGCCACGTTGGGGGGGGTGACTTCTGGGGCTATGTTCAATGGAAGTACCTACCTTGACCCGTTCCTGGAGCATGACTGCAGTCTGTGATCCCTCCCATGCGGTGCGGGCGGTTACCGTCGCGAAGCGACGTGAATATTAAAGGAAGCAATGCAATGAATTTTATTGATGCATTGGTGCCGGTGTGCATTGCACTGTATGCAACACTTTGTGCGCGCGAATGCAATTTCATCTCCGTGTCGCTTCAAATGGTGCACCTTGTTTGATGTTTTTGTAGCATCCATGTAGGCCAAGTCTTCTCCTCACTGGACACTCGTGGTAGCCAGGCCTAGTGGAGTCCATCGGTTCTTCTCGAGTGGCTCCTAGTACAACATCTCACAACGGGAGAAGTCGTCGGACAAATTGGTGATTGTCTACAGTGATGCAAACTTTCCATCTGAGGCACCCAGTCAGCTGATCTGAATTGTAGCCAATCGCGATCTTCACCTCAGCTATGGCACCTATTGCTAAGAAGCTATTCGGCTAGGCTAGTAGTGCTGAAGAAGCTTCACTGGGGCAAATACCATCAGATTCATGTGGCCCGAGCACACACCGTATGAGTGAGCCGCTCTCGGACTGAGCAGATGTGCTCGGAATGAGAAGGTGCTTCGCAAGAACCAAAGCATGTGAGTTTTCAAATCTAGCTCCACCTTGCTTTTTCCAAGAAAAATAAGCTCTTAGTTCCCTGTTGTTGAAAATTTGCGAAAACCAACGAAACAATGCCTACATTCGATGATCAGTACTGGAACATTGGCCCGTTCTGTAATCGTAGAAATGTGGTGATATCATGTGATATTTCGGTTACTGCCCTGCCGCTGCGGGGCGTCTTTGTGATCATTGTTGAAACATTTGAGGGTGCGCATAAATGATGCAAGTAATGCAACTTTGCATGGTAGAATTGTCTGCATCACTACTAGTTACTAGTTTGCATAAAAACCTATGCAAAGGCTACAGAAAAGGCTACAGGTAGGACACGCGAATTGCACGGTAGCCTCTTGAAGCCTACGCGAGGTGAAAGGCGGTCCATCCGAGCTTATGTAGCGGATAACACTCGGAAGAAAAAAGACAACACATACACACGCACACACTGCTCAGTTGGTGATATGTGCTGAATTGCTGTGATCTGCAGTTACTCTTCGGCTTTTCTGATCTGCAGTCTTGGATTTCCCAGTCACTTCACAAAGACCCCAAGACAAGCTGTGGCCTCCCCATCGCTCTTAGGTTGAAGGCCGCAGCCGGACCAGCCAGGCATCCAGCCTCTGAGATTTCCAGGCCGCTGCCCGAGACGGAGGAGACCGACTCCCAGGGCACCTGGGGAAGGCGGTAGGCAAGGCAGTGAGAAGCCCAGAAGTACCCCTTCAGTTCTGAAAAATTTACCACATAGCATCACATAGACTCTCGCATTCCCATTAAAACCATTTAATTGCACAATGAAGGCATGTTTAAAAGCTTCACTTTTTAGAAACTCTTATTCTCCCTTGCCTCACAACTTCCATCGAAAACCGCCAAGCAACTGTCAGACCTTCTGTGATCTGATCAAAGCCTGGCGGAACCTGCATAGACTTTGCTACATTGGTTCTCGTGCTGCTAGTGCGGGGTTTCAAGTGGGGAGACCGGGGAGACCATTCAAACATAACCAAACAAACAAATCAAGACAAGTCAGGTCTTGTAGCTCTTGCACTCCAAAAGAATTGATTTAGAGTACAAAATGAGACGCCGAAATCGCCAACGCCAAAGCCGTCACGTCATCGATCCACCTCAATGGACTCCTCCGCCAGTGGCTGTCCATCGACACTGGTCTTGTAGAAGATATCGCCGGGCTTAGTTGCAGGACAGATTGGTCGGCTGAGTCGACAGGCCTCTACATACTTCTTCCGCCAAAAGGAATTAAGTATGGAAATTCAACTTAATAGTCCAACCTACTAGCGATGGTCTCCAACCTAATAGCGACGGCGATGGCCTCCATGTTACTAGCGATGGCCTCCAACCTAATAAGTAAGTCTGGAAATCCAACTTACAGTATCTACTCAATCTACTCTTATATAGATGCACTGAGGTGTCCGGCATCAAGTCAGCTTAGTTGCCACTAAAGCAAATCAACTCAGGATCTGGCTGTGATGTGGAACGTTTTCAAGGTGTTGTTCCTACAAATTGTTGCAGGTCAAGTTCCAGTATTAGGATGGAGAACGGCTTGTCCTTCACACTCAAAAGGATAGCGGCTCCTGACTTTCACGATCTGGGCTACAACCATGTCCCTGGAATGCCGGTGGGACCAAAAACACTTGACATCTTCCTTCATTCACAGCCAGCACCTCAACAATCTTCGTGGCTAAGTCTCTACCCTTCAGCAGAATATGTTCCCGGTTACGAAGCCTATCTGCCAGTCTATGTTGCTCCTTATCAAAAACACAAAACCTCCCCACCTTAGTGAACAGCGAGCGCCGCGTGCCACAGAACAACTTTGGTCTGTGAGGAATGAAAGCTTTGTGAACAAGACTCTGCTGCAGGTTCTGGAGGGACAAGCAAATTGTGCCAATAGAGAATGGACATTTGTCAGTGCCCTGGGGCAAGTTGAGCTCACACCTTGGAAGCTAGCTGGAGCCAAAGATTGGAAAGCAACATGTGCACCAACTACATACCCGTCTGACATCCCAAACAGTTTGAAGGCTTGTGATGGGTTGGAATGGCCCCTCCCTTTTGCCTACGCAAGAAACGGCACATTCGTGCCGATGATGCTTGCTTGCCCTAAGGTGAAACCTGCTTGCGGTGACACTTCTGTGATGAAAAGAAGAACCTAAGAGCGATGGCCTCCACCCTAGTAGCGATGGCCTCCAACCTACTAGCGATTTGCTCCGCTCTTAACAAAGGGACTTCCGCAAGGCCGAATCACTGCGCGACCTCAAGGCACCAATGACTTGCAAATCTCCCGATGCTGCCAAATTCGGAGGTCGTTATCCCAAAAATCCCCTGGCCGCCTGCCAAATGCGAAGGTTGGGTCCCGGGTTACTGTGCCATGAGTCAGAACCTCCTGCACGACAACAACAAAGCACTCTGCAACTACAGTTTTTATGTGATATCATTAAAATAATGTCTCCTCGTGCCACTCCGTTGCGTGTTCACTCTTCGAAGACCGGCCTCCAGGGTTGAAAACTATTGCGGCCGGAGACTTTGACACATTTTGCCGCGCCTTTTGCAACCAGCTCGTTGAGCTCACTCTCATGCCTCCAAGTGCGCACCATGGAAACACTGGCTCAAACACACAATGAGCCTCACTTAATGAATGAAATTCATTATGAACAAATTCCTTCAAAGGTATAGATGGATTCCTCTGGCTTCTGAGGTTTTCATCGTTTCATCAAACTTTGGATACTCAAGGAGAACTGCTTGGTCTGGCCACCTTATCGCCGCTGCAGTTCTCCTGCGCTGCTCTGGCCATGCCTAAAGAGAACTGAGCTTGGAAGCAGCTATGGATGAACAAACAGCCTGCTACTAGGAGCACGCTACTAGGAGCAAAGGGCATCGCTACTAGGAGCAAGGACGCTACTAGGGTCCTCGGCTTACTACTAGGAACAAGGACGCTACTAGGAGCTTGGTTTCCCACCCAAAAGGTGGCAGAGGCATAGTGCACCAGTGGCTGCTCACTGGGCACAAGGTCGAAGAGGGCCAAAGAGCATTTTTTGAGAAACCCACAAGGCATTTCTTTGAAGAGCAATTGAAGAGAAAAAACCCAGGGCCTGCTTTAAAGGAGGCCTTGATAAAGAGGCCTTCTTTTTCCCCAGATAGCGAAGCTATGGGGCTCTTACTTCAAAAAACAATGAGTTGCCCGTGCGCGCTTTCGAGACAGGTTGCTGGTGCTGGTGCTGGTGCTGTGAGCTGGCTGCGCATGTGGTGGAGGCAGGTTGCTGGCGCCGGTGCTGGTGCTGGGTGCCGGGCGCCACTGCTGGTGCTGTGAGCTGGCTGTGCACGCTGGTTCTGTGAGCTGGCTGTGCACGTGATGGAGACAGGTTACTGGCGCCGGTGCTGGTGCTGGGTGCCGGGTGCCGGTGCTGTGAGCTGGCTGTGCATGCGGTGGAGACAGGTTGCTGGTGCCGGTGCTGGTGGTGCTGTGCCGGTGCTGGTGGTGGTGCTGTGAGCTGGCTGTGCACGTGGTGGAGACAAGTTGCTGGTGCTGGTGCCGGATGCTGGGTGGTGCTGGTGCTGGTGCTGGCGCTGGTGCTGTGAGCTGGCTGCGCACGTGGTGGAGACAGGTTGCTCGCGCCGGTGCCGGTGCTGGGTGTCGGGTGCTGGCGCTGGCTGTGAGCTGGCTGCGCACGTGGTGGAGACAGGTTGCTGGTGCTGGTGGTGGTGCTGGGCGCCGGGCGCTGGCGCTGGTGCTGGCGCTGTGAGCTGGCTGCGCGCGTGGTGGAGACAGGTGGCTGGCGCCGGTGGTGCTTGGTGCATGGTGCTGGCGCTGGTGCTGATGCTGGTTGTCTGCGCACGTGGTGGAGACAGGTTCTGGTGCTGCTGCTGGCGCTGGTGCTGGGTGCTCGCGGCGTAGCTTGCATATGTGATGGGGTCTATTTTCGGATCTGTGGAGACAGAGTGCCTGGGCGCCAGGCGCCGGTGCTGGTGTGGCGCTGTGAGCTGGCTGTGCACGTGGTGGAAACACGGTGCCGGCGCTGGGCGCTGGCAGCGCGCATGGTAGAGACAACAGGTTCCGACGCCGATACTGTGAGCTAACAGCACGAATGGTGGAGACTGCAGCGCGGGGCTGGCTGCGCGCGTGGTGGAGACAGGGTGCCCGGCGGTGGGTACCGGGCGCTGGTGCTGGGTGCGGGGTATACCGGTGCTGGCTCGGTGCTGGCGCCCGCTTCTGACAGTGAAGTGATAACAACTTCCGCTGCTTGCAGCAGTGACGGCCGACCAAGCGCCGCTTCTGACAATGAAGTGCCAGCAGTCACGGGCCGCGTGAACTTATGCACGCAACATCATACGGTGTTGGCGCTTGAGCGTTCTTTGTCTATTAGCGCTGTGGGGTATTTAATTTACACTCTTCAGGTTCTGTTTTGGCCCACAGCTGTGTCAAGGGCTGTACTGTTTGCGCGCATACTTTTGCGCGTATAATGTTCTATGCGCAACGTCAGGCTCTCAACCGACCATTGTTTCAGCGTGTTTCAGCGCTACACACACAATAGTCGTGCTGGATACTGCTTGGCCTTGGGCGAGCGAAGCCTACGGGCTTTGCCGTTTGCGCGCATACTTTTGCGCGCATATTCTGATACGCGCAAGATCATGCGGCCTTATCGTTCTGCAGATCGTTGCTTCAAGCATGCTACAAAGTCAATAGTGGCGCTGGATACTGCTTGGCCTTGGGCCAATGACATTTACGGGCTTTGCTGCTTGCGCGCATACTTTTGCGCGTATAAAACCGTATAAACTTATACGCGCAAGATCATACGTTGTTATTCCTCAGATAGGGACCTATGGGGTTCTTTTCTCTGGCTGCGCGCGCTTTTGACAGGGTGTCGGTGCTGGCGCTGGTGTTGTGGTCCTGAGTGCTGGTGCTGTGAGCTGGCTGAGCGCGCGTTTAAGACCGCTGGTTGGGCGCTGGCGCCGCTGCTGTCAGCTGGCACAGCGCACGCGCTGGTGTCAGCTGATTGCGCGCGCTGTGGAGGTGCCGTAAGCTGGCTGTGAAGGCTGCGTACATTCTTGTTCCAGCCAGTCGCATATCAACAGGTCGTGGGATTCTGCCTAGCTATCTGGATCTATGCTGGTGTAATTTTGTTCTTTTCTTGTTCAATTGAAGGTGAGTGATGTCCAACACCCGCAAGTGCAAGCGCCTTTGAAGCCTGGACAAAGACATTGGCTCAGGCCGCCATGGTGCGGGCAGCCGGTCAACCTGAACGTTCAACAGCAAGTCTGGATAGGAACTTCTGTTTGAAATAGTCTGTCCCAAACCGAAATTTCGTTCATATCACAAGGTGCTTTTGTTGTCAAACCGAAAGGTTCTACAAGCCTTTCAAGCTTTCGGCCTAGCTGCTAGCTACAAGCAGTGTGCAGCCGAGTGAAATGCCGAGAATACAGAATGGACATATCGCATAGGACAGGAAAAATAGTTCAAGGGATAAGCTGGTGCTATTTGAGAACAAGCGACCCCTCGGCAATGCGAACAGCTTGTTCAACCGAGGGTTCCCATGTACTAGTACTGAGCCACACGCATAGCGTGAACACACCATATTCTCTCCAACCTAATAGCAATGGCCTCCAACCTACTAGCAAAAGGAACATAATAGCGATGGCCTCCAACCTACTGTATACTTGAAACTGGTTGGTTGGTTGGTTGGTTAGTTGGTTGGTTGGTTGGTTGGTTGGTTGGTCCACTTTTGCACATCCATGATTCCAGTCATTGGGCATCCCAGGCCACATTGCGGAAGCCCGGCGCTCGGTCCTGCAGGAGTATGTTATTGGTCTTTGCACTTAGAGCAACTACCCATTACCAATAGCCTTGACCCTATTTCTTTCTTGCTACTATCAACACTATTGCCTCCTGTACAACATGCGTCTCATCTTGCAAACAGCATTTTTTAGTTGCAAATCTCTAGACGAAGCTTACTTTTTCACCAGTTTCCGGCCGCACTGTCCGGAAAATTACGAGCGATGGTGGTGCGGTGCACAATGGGATTCAAGAAAGGGTATGGGCTGTAGGCCTCAGAGCAGAAACAATTTGCCAATTGGAGCAAAAACGAAGCTCGAGTATTTGTTAGAAATGAAAAGGTAGAGCAGCTACAGCTAAATAAGCTAGCGATTGAAGGCCTGCGGTTGTTCAATTGAAAAACGCTGAGTCTTCAGCTCCAGGACCTGGAGTCGTCAAACATGTCCTCGATCGGGGCTCGTAGCGAATTCAAGGGCATGACTCCACTGCCCCTAGGGCTCTAACGTGTTGCCACCAACACCCAAGTCATTGTGACCAAGCTCTCGCTTCGACTGCTTGAACCTTGCCATGTTATGGCTTGTGATGTGGATAGCAAAACTGTTTCTGGGCGTTCCAGGCAAGTTCTTCTAGAGAACTATCCATGTGTCAACTCCACAAAACCGCACATGCCCGCATCCGAAATCACAAATAGATTTATATAAGTGTCCCTACAAAACTCAAGTGGGAGGAAAGTGCCTCCAGCAGTTAGGCACTGGATCGCTTAGTGGCTTTAGTCGCTTACCTCCTTACTGGTAACCTCCTCACGGCCTACCACCACTTAAAACTACGGCGACATAGACCCCAAATAACACAAAAATATTGTTGGCAGCACCCTGCAGCCGCACTCCGCAGGATCACTCTGCAGCGCCCTCCAGCGGTGCCAGCCCCGGGCTTCAAAGCGCAAAGGGCCACAAACATGCAGCAGCACTGTCCAGCGGCACCCTGCAGCGGCACCATCCCCCAAAGCGGGCCGAGCCATAAAGCCGGCAGCAGCACCAGCACCCAAGCTCCAAAGTGCACACAGCGCACCCTGCAGCGGCCAAGCTCCCCAAGCTCCCCCAAGCGCGCTCCCAAGCGCAGCACCCCCAAGCGCACACAGCAGCGGCACCCTGCAGCGGCACCAGCACGCAAGCTTCCAAGCGCACAGAGCAGCGGCACCCTGCAGCAGCACCAGCACCCAAGCTCCCAAGCGCACACAGCAGCGGCACCCTGCAGCGGCACCAGCGCCAAAGCTCGAAAACGCACACATGTTTTTGTGCTGGAACATCAGCGGCCCTGCAGCGGCACCAGCCCAGGCCCCAAAACGCACACCTATACTTGAAGTACTCAGCCATGGACTGATGCTTGGCATAGACCCCAGATAGCGGGTATATAGGGAAAAAGCTCATAGTGCCTGACGAAGTAGACCCCGATGTCTAATAGCCTTCGTTGCCAATCAACGGTGCCAAGGGCATTGTTCACCTTGCCAGGGATGAATCATGTCATGCCAGGGATGACATCTGCCAGGGCAGGGACGATATCCACCCCTATGGTGCCTGACACATTGATGCACGTATTGCCTTGTGATATGCATCGCTTCGCTTTGTGGTGACATGGTGTCATGCCAGGGACGACATCATGTCATGCCAGGGATGACATCATGTCATGCCAGGGACCAGCACCAGCACCAGGACACGCACCAGCACCCACACCCGCGCCAGCACCTGCACGAGCACCAGCACCCAGGCTCGAAAACGAACGAGTGCAGCTCTTCCTTTTGCTTGAAGTAAGAACAAGAACCCCAATAGCTCACGTTATCGGGGAAAAAGGAGCAATTCGATTCGAATCTGCGGCTCACACCCACAGCTCGGCATCACACCATCGACCTGGCCGTCCGATGGAGCTGAAGAACAGTGACAACAAATGGAAGCACAAAAGCCTGCTATGCTTGCTAAGAATCCGCCAGAAGCACGTAATGTGATCCTATAGCATCTATATGATCATGCAAGCACTGTAGGTTGGGGCCAAAGTCGTGCGAAGAACGTCTGTTGTGCTGGCTGCTGTGGAAGGAATCTGCAAGCGACTGCAACAAACCTCAGTTCAATCACCTGCATGAAGAGTGTTTCTTTTGCCACGCATTCGAATTCATTCCGCCACTCAACTTTCGTTGAGCTGCAGGTGACACAGTGGTAATTTGGCAAACCCAACTCTGCAATATTCTCTGCTGTTTTTGCTGATTGGGGCATTGGTTGTACAAGTGTAACAAAAGGATACAAAAGGATCTTTTCTGAAAGTCAATCTCTCACCTACCAAGCTCATTCATCATAGCACATCTATCTCCAAAACGTTCACTATCCACAATGCCTCGCAGAAAATGTTGGCTGGCATGTTTGTGCAGGAAAGATATTATTCTTGAGAGCAAGATATTACCGTAGACGTCTGCCAATGCCAACAATAATGAAATACCTGTAATTAAAAATGCTAAACACACTCAAGAAGTTATCTTTGGGGGTGCAACAAGTGGCGCAGGATTCCAGATGCGTTCCCCCGAGTGTACATGATGTTGGTTCTGTCTGGCTTGGGCTCATGCGACATTCTTCAGGCGGAGCATATGGACCTGAGATGCAGAAGAAAGGTGCATATGCTTTCATACACCACTACTAGTAAGGCACTTGCTTCTAATAGCTTCTTGTTACTACTAGTAAGGCACTTGTTTCTAATAGCTTCTTGTTACTACTAGTAAGGCACCTGTTACTACTAGCGTGGTTACTACATTATTCGTCCTTTCACCATTGGAATCCTGAGACGCTTATGTCGCCTCACACGGTCAAATTTCCTCCCTCCGAAGCTGTTTTATTGTTACAGACTTAAAGAGGGCGATAATTGACCGTCCCACACTGGCCACGTGAAATGGACTTCTTAACCCGACAGCGGCCGATCCACATAGATGTTATGAAGTATGCAGCAATTGTCTCTCGAATTATGTTCAAATATGTCCAATTGAACCATTCCACTTCAGAAACTAAGGGCTTTGGCCACCGGAGAGCTGTTGCTCTTCGCATTCCACGGCCAATTTGAGCCTCATCGCCTGGGCACATGGCTAGGCAACTAGTAGCACTAGGACCACTAGGAACACAAGTGTGCTGGTGACCTGGTTCAGCGGTTCCTGAGACTGCCCATGCCTCTCCCTCGAGAGGAAGAGCTCTGACTCTACTGGTCAAACGCCCCCGGCTGCCCAGTGGTGGCCTCGTTGCCGAAGATGCGGAGGCACTCCGCCTCTGTCCAAAAGGTCCCACATCTCGAAGCCCTGAGGCAATGTAAAAAACCCACAAGTCTTGTCTTTCATCCAGTGGAATCCACTCAAAGTGCAAAATCGGCTTCAGAAAGGGGGCCTGAACCAGAGGTAATCTCTCAGAGCTTCTTGATGCTTCGCAAAGTCGCCAGACACTGGCTTGCAATACTTCGGGTCATCTTTGTCCCACCAAGCCTGCCCAGGCACTGTCAGATTCATCCTACCCGCAAACAGTCTAATTGATCGTGGCTCAAGTGTTCACAATAGCCTTTGATATGCACCAGGCACCCCGCCTTGCAAGTGCAGCTTCCAGTCCGCCCCGTTTCATCCGTGGTCTCACAATCCAAGTCCGTGTCGCAGCTTCTGCCTGCCTGTCCGGGAGAGGTGAATATTTTTCGATTGAAGCAGAAAGAGATGGAAAAACTGAGAGAGAGAGAGAGTACGTACGTACAGGGAAAGACGTCCAACAAAAATTGAGCTACTCTCCACACCAATATATACATATATTTATAAAGCGAGCCTTTTGTTGGGGTCAACATGATTTTCCTCTCTGATGTGAGTGATGTCCGGTACATTGCCGGAGGCACCTGCTTGGACTGCGCTGGCGGAGCACATTTGCCATCCCTGAAAGCACAGAACACGCTGTGCAACCATGCTTCAATTGAACAATCAAGCAAGCTTTCATTCTCTGCATGCTTGTGCTCTTGAATCTGGGAGATGCACCGGTCACGCCAACCAAACTCACAGAAAACGTCTTCAGCTGCCAAAGCACCTGGCGGTGTTTCAAGGAACAGAACACGCCGAGTCGCACTCTGGGAGACATAATTTATTTATTGTTTGCTAAAGGTGTTCAGTCTTTTGCGGTGTATGCCTGAAATTCAGCACTACCCAGACCGCAGCACAAGAAGCAGTGAAGCCTTCCACATCACCTCCTACTCTGATTCTTGTCCTGAGAGTTCAGCTACTAGTATATAGTACAGTATAGACTAGATTATTTGGGAGACTTTTGTCAAAAACAGTGGTGTGCCACACTGAACAGCGATGCTGTGTGAAGGGGTTAGGTGTGTTGTTCGGTATGACTGACAATGTTCCTATGTTCAGTTGCGCCTTCACCGATCACAGCAGGACTTGATGTCTCAAAACAATCTGAAACTGAGAAAGTGGTACAAAGCCTTGAAAACGCAATTGTCTTTGCCACGCACCCCACTCCAACCTATCTTCAGCGAGAAAAGCTTTCGGCAGCGTGGCTGCGGCTCACCCACGTTGCAACGAAGACCAGGCTCGCCTTGTGCGGGTTCGTAGGTTCTAATGGCCACAAGAACACAAAACATGGTGGTGCCTGCCGTATTTATCAACGTTCCAAAGCTACTCATCTTACCGATCCTGATTCTTGTGGAGACTTGAAGACTGAGACCCTAGGCCTATCTTTGCAAATTAAGTCAACTTATGGACTATATATAGGAAAAGGAAAGCAAATATCAAAGGAAAGCACCTTTTGTGGTCTCGGTTCGGGTGTCCCGGCATTCGCGGTCTTCCGCACAAGTCATCCCTTCGCTGCGCTGCGCTCGGCAATATTGAACCTGGCAGCTACAAGAAGCAAAGGGGGTATGGCAGTGATCACAGAACCACTTTCTCCCAAGACCTCTTCCAGTCATGACTCATGACGTTACAAACTGCAAGTTCTCCCCCATGTGAAAGAACTTATTTGAAGTTGCGTCATGACATTGACATCCTTCCAATCAAGACAGCAGCACCCAGTAGGGATTTTGCCCACCAGTTGGGTCTGATGGACAATAAAACCCCAGATGTGGGCAATCGTAATCGCTTTCGCAGGTCTGATTGGCATTGTACCTGCTGCATCACAGCAAAAGAACCTCCAACAAGTCACCAAAGCGGTATGGTACGGTTGGAAGGGCATACAGGCTCCGCTAAGGCATCTTCTCATTCCGTAAATGCAATCCTCGCTTGAAAATTCACAACAAATCTCCAAAAACAAACATAAAACCAGACTAGCTAGGCTCCTGATCAAAGGTGCAAGGCATTCCCACCTCAAGCGCAAACAAGTAGAGGGGCTTGTGTATGTGTTTGTTTGTCTTTCCAGACCAGGGAGGGTAAGCCGTAGGAAGCTTAAGTAGCTAGTAGTAAATGGCAAGGAAGCTACCAGCTTGGACGCAGATGGGCTCAGGCTCAATGATTTGATTCCAAAGGCTTTGGATACAAAGCTTCCAAAGGCGACAAGCTCGTTGCCTTGTTCCGCCAGCGGCAGACCCAGTTGGTCCACTCAGTCAGTGGTGCGGGATCCCACCTGGCACACAAGATCGACTCTGATTCAAAAGAAAGACGAGACATCATACCCACTATGAATAATTAGGCGGAGTCGCCAAAGAGCTAGACAGATGTGCTGCGCGTGGTCAACAACAGTCCTCAAGAAGAATCTCAATCTGACGTGACATCAACACGCCTTATGGTTTGTCTTCCGCTCACATGCCTCAAAAATATCTTGTGATATAGCAAGTCGTGTCCTATCCACGCAGTTTTGGCAATCACCAGGTGGATGACATTGTTCATCTGAAGGGCAGAACACCTCTGGGACAGAAAAGCTATGCGAACTACTAGCAAAGGTGCAAGAGCTGGAATGGAACTGCAAGTTGTACAGGTGGTGACTCCAACCAGAGTCATGTGCATCAGAGAGTCAGTCCTTTGCTTTTTGCTAGATTGGAACAAAAGTGTGTTTAGTGCTAGTCTGACCTGCACGAGGCAGTCATCTTGGGGAATTGTGTCAAAACTGACTTTCAAGCTGAACATGCAGTGGCCAACTTGGATTGGGTGATGCTGAAGCAATACCTAGAAAGAGGATGAAAAAGGCAGGGATAAAGCAACCTAGCGGTGTTTACACCATATACTGTCCGACCACAGCACTGAAACCACAACTTTGCATAAAGTCTGAGTTGTTGCTTCCTTTCATCCTTTCTTCAGCAAAGCATTGCCCCTTTCTTGCGTTTGCTTGTGTTCGTTCCTGCGTCTTGCCTTTCTTTCGTTGGTGGGATCAAGTCGCTTTTCATCAATCCCGCAGCCTGACCACCATCTGCATAGCAAACCTGGCAATTCAACCACTCCCCGACTCCGTGCATGCATCACCTCACCTCGTACAGTTTGAAACGGATTTCTCTGAAAGATCCAATAAATAAAGGATCCAGCATTGCTCTAAAGCCCTAATTGATGACAATCAAGCTCCTTGGCGTGGTGTGAATCCTGGTCACTTGCACTAAAGACATCAAAATCAGTATGCAAGGCCTCAGGGGATGGCTGCACGCAAATCGAGAAGGCCCGATCAGTTGCAGATTTCCAGCCACAGGCCTGATGCACTTTTGATCGCTTTTTCGTATCGTTGGTGACTTTGGCCACTTTTGTTCTTCGATCCCCCCAAAAAGGCTCGCATGAGGCATGAGGCCCTTGCTCTCTGAGAAAGAGAGTGAAAAGTCAGTAGCTCCCTACAGCCACAAGCTGGGTGGGTGAATCAAAGGACAGCTTTTCTTGCTCCTACCGAAGAAGCAAAGGCTCTCAAGGGTTGCAAGCACGCCCGGATGAAAGAAGAGGTGAAGAATGTTCTGTCCTGGACATGCCGCCAGCCTTGCAGTCTTCCTTGCAGTCAGCATCGAAGCTGCAGTAGTACTGCCGGGGGTTGCGAGCATTGCAAACCTGTCATTGCAAACGTTCCTCGCAGTCATTGCATATGCACTTTAAGTTATCCTTCCCAATTCAAATCATCCGGTCATTGATCTTTCGTGAGCCTCAGGTGTCACTTGCTGCTTTGGGACACTCTCTTGCAACCTTCGAGCTGCCACCTGTCAGCACAGCTTGGCTAGTGGATGAGTAGGGATACGGGTTGGGACTGGCAAAGTCCAAAAAGGTCCGTTGAAACACAAAAACGAAACCGGAAAAGGTGGCTGTGGTCCACCTGGGCGGTCCGCATTTCGGACACCTTAGTGATACAAATCGATCAAATGCGGAACCGCGGTACATTCCAAAAGCTATGTCACGGCATAGCTGCCTGAAGGTCATGCACCTGTCACTAGAGATACGTTTTCAAATGACATGACTGGTACAAACCTACCTTTCACCCTCTGCTTCTATTCAATGAGAATGAGACAGGCACTGCATTGCTAAGCGCTTGGAAAACTTCCCCAATCCGACCAAACCTGCAGCCAGAACACCAGCCATGCAGCCGGCCCTCTTCATGTTCGGTGCAAGTCACAAAGAAAAAGGACAATAAATAACACAAAAAAATACACAACATCAAAACAACAAAATGTCCAAATAGAAATGGGTTCCAAACTTTTTGTCAGCGTTGGCCCTCCAAGGCCCACACTCCGCTGCACTGAGCATGCCATCAATGTCCTTGTCAAGCTGGAGGAAGAGCGCTTCCGGCTGGGTGATGTTCTGTCCAAGTGCAGTAGCACGACGCAAAAAAAGGCTCCAGAGCAATCCTTGTTTTGGCAGGACGTGTGGAGTCGGCACCAATGACACAAGGCAGCAAGCCCGTTTCGTCAGGCGTGTGGAAAAGGACTGGATTCACCCAGATTGCTTTCCTCTGTATCGCACAGTGACAGGAAAATGAAAAGACTCCCGACGAGCTCTTGATCCCAGCGACCTGCCTCGATCAAGACACCCTGAATTCTGAAGCCATCCGCACTCTTGCGGAAATTGGCAAAGCCTCAGAGTGACACAGAGTTAAGGAAAACAAAAGAAAACCAATTGGATTTAAGTTGACTTTGGATTCAGGTCCTGCTGCTTTGCTTTGCATTCATCAGTGTGTTGCTGCATGCTGTTCCACAACATGCTCTGATTGTAAGCTAAAAATTATTGAGCGTTCAGACGTGCCCACCAAGAATATAGGGTCTACGGTCTACGTCAGCAGGCTCTGAGCCAAGGCAGTGCTTGTTAAAGCCATGCCTTTGCGGACCCAAGTTGAACAAAACAAATGCTAAGGGCGTGGGGGCGGGAGTTGAATCTATAGACTAACCATCGAATCACAGGCGATTGGTCAATCTAAAGCCCAACCACACTCATTGGAGAACTGAACTCATACAGTTGAAGCTACCTTTCGTGAAAAGCAAACAATTACACAATTGCAAGCCGAAGCCAACCACCTTGTTATGCCCCCACCAATCCTTGCCAAAAAATCCCATTTGTCAGCCCAATCAACAATGAATGAACATCTCATTCTCCGAGGCACTCATGGGAAAGTAAGCCGCCGCCGGCTCCGTTCGCTGGATAATCTCTGTGGCCTTTTCTGTAACGGTGGCACCTCGAGTCTGAACGCCAACGATGACGAGGCGGTTCCGGCCAACTTTGGTGATCGATTTCACTCATGTCATGTGGGCTGCCTGTGCTGGTGTCCCTCCAGTACACGGTGGCAATGTCAGGAGACCTGCAGTGCAAAATGAAATATGAAAAGTCTTCGAGTGTCACACACTAGAGGTGGCAGGGTGCGCCTATCTTCGCATAGGAGCGTGAAGGTGTTCCACTGGCAGTAGTCTGTTGGACAGCTTGTGATGTGCAGGAAAGTCAGACCTAGAGGTTGCCCAGTGCACTTGCCTGTGGACTGATGGCTTATTGTTTCGCTTCGGAACTAAGCCCCTCACATGGGCGATAGCAAATGCCCTCACCCTGCAAGAAGCTTGCTTCAAAACTAATTACCAATTGGGGTGGAGTTTGAGTTGCTATCACTAATTCTCGTCGCCTGTGCACACTCCTTTCCCATGCCACATTCTTCATTGTACCTATGATAGATCATGATCGAAAAAAGCAAAGTGTAGCTCATTGCAGGAGGGCACTTGGCTGGCACCGAGAACGGTGGGTTCTCACAAACACAGGTTGTCGGGTTTGTGCCGTTGCCAAAGGCACAATTTGTGCAGATCTTCCCGTCCTTTCGAGTGCAACTGGGAACCAAAATGTCATATCCGCCTTTCATCTTGATTCAAACAAAATCTTGAACTTCACAAATCTGTCTCACCAAGGCGATGAATCTAAGCACGCATGACACGTCAGCATTGCTTACCCAGCACTCTATGTAGCTTAGATAGAAAATGCACGACATTGATCATGTATGATCATGTTTGATTAGTTTGATGATGCAAGAAATGTACAAAACATGATGGCATGTCTTGCATCATGTTGTCTTTGGGAGCTCCCAATCAAGCACGTGTCGATACATAGTTGCCACAAATCCAATCAAAACGGTCTTTTAGCATCCAAACCATGTATCTCAAATGAATGCAGTGCATGTGTCCAGTCACTTTGATCCACTTTAGCCAGGGAAACAAACAGGTAGCTGAGCTGCTCAGGATCCGATAGCTGGACATTTGTAGAAGTGAAGGATCGATTGATGAAGCCAAGATTGACACGTCCGTTGAGTTTAGACCAGTCCTGGCATCCTTGCTCTCTGAGAAAGAAGCCGGGTCGCACTTCCCGACAAAGCTCAGTGTTTTGAGCCAAGCCTTGGCCGCTTCACAGAGTGAAGGAGTTCCACAGATCCTGCTATCACCTGCAAAGTCTCATATGAACGCATCCTGCTCTTGCTGTTACACTTACATTTACATGCCTACTCTTGCCTTACCCTCACCTTGCTGGTTTGCTGTCTTTGCCCAGACATGTCACTTCACACTTTCGCAGTCGACAGTGCAAGGTCCATACATTGACATCTAGTGCATTGCGACGGACCCCGGTACCTGACAAACAAATCTAGGTCTTGTATTTGTGTGAGTGCAGGCTGGTGCCGTTGCTTCAAGAAAAGATATATATGTGATTCTGCTGATGATGGAGCACTGCAGAACTTCAAAGTATTGGGTTTGCGCTCGGCTGTGACCTCAACCAAAAGCTTGCAAGCAAAATTTGAACAAACTTAGCACTGTAGCCACGGCAAAGCTGTGATCTGATCGAAAATTGTCTGGGGCGTAAGAAGGAAGGAAAGGCAAAGGGCAATGTTTGCAAAACAGCAGAGGCAGGTGTATCAAGAGTCTCAGATCGATGCAGAAAAAGGCAAGGAAGAGCCAAACGGCCTAAGCCAGTGCGCAAACATTCAAGGCTCAAGTCCCCCTCAGAATGAGTATGAAGGGTTGCATCCCAGGGCATGTCCGAAAAGAGGAATTGCTGACCTCATTCAACCCTTGACACCGAACTCAAACGTGTCTGAGAATCACACAAGTCTCATTCCTCTCACCTCAGTTCTCCCAATGGACTCTGTGGTGACTTGACCGCCTTTGGGAGTCAGGTTCATTCGTGCGTCCTTGCTCCTAGTAGTAAGGCCAGGAGTAGCGTCCTTGCTCCTAGCTCAAAATTACCTTTAGTCCAACCTGCCTTGGCACATTGTTCCACGCCCCCATGGCCACAGTCCGCTGAGCCAAAGCAGACCCGACACATCCTTCTCAGAACTCTCAGAACCAGCCATAAACAACTTCCATTTGCTTCAACATCAACAATGCACACCATCAAAAATTCTTAAACAACTTGCAGACACACACACACACACAAATATATGTATATATATATATACACAGTATATTTTCATATTTATGATATTGACCTGTTTGAAGCCCAAATGTTTCGTAGGTCCTCTAAATAAAGCCGCATACAGTACTTCATTTGGCGACATTGTTTGGCCAGTCCACGAGCGATTCGCGTTCTGGTTGTGAAACAGTCTTGTTGCTGTGCTCAAATCAAAGAATTGGCCCCTTCAGGTAGCCAGTAGATATGAGCGATGAAACTCCTGCCAGTCTTGTGAAGGAGGACTGCTTCTACATCAAAAGTACCCTTGAAACAAACGGAAGAAGAAAAGTCTGTCAGGGAAGGCAAGTTCAGCTGTGCTGATGTGCCTGGGTTCTTGTCAGAAAGGCCATCATCCATGGAAGCAAAGCCACTATGTGGTTGATTCCGGGCCTGACTGAGAAAGAGGTGGCCCAGCAAAGGAGCGCGATGCAAAGACAGAAAGTTTGGCTGAAGTGCACAAAGCAATCACTGAAAATGAGCGAGGAGCACAGCGTGGTACAATCCTCCATAAGAAGACTCAGGGGTTGCTCCAGCTTTGTCAGGTGGCCTTGACATAGGTGGCCTTGCCAACTCGTCGGAGTGCACAGTAGCGGTCCCACCTCAAATGCATGGGGTTGCAAATCAGGAGCTGTCATGTACGGCATGAATTGAGGCAGGCCTGTCTTCCACATCGCCTGGATTTCGGCAAAGGATGACCTCAAACACAGGCGCTGAGAAAGCCTCTCCTTTCCAGGGCCTGCAATAGCCTCTCTTGGCTCATTTCTCAGAGTTGAACATTAGACACCAGTTGCTGCTGCAAGTTTTGATCCTGCAAAACTCAAGCATAAAATCTGCGTTTTCAAGCAATGCTTTGGTCTGAAAAGCATGAAGACCTCACTGTCTTCTGAAAGAAATCCAAGAATAATGTCTTCCCTGAACATGCCCATCCAGAACAGCCTCCATTTCGGCCAGAACCGTGCAGAATCTTTGCAGCCTTGTTCTTCTCCAATGTTGCTCCTGCAGTCTGACGGTTCTGACGCACCACTACTTCAAGAACATCGTGCCACACATTTGCACATGAACAGTTGAGTGCAGCAGCATCCTCCTGAGAATTCAGCTGCTTCCTGGCGTCCAATGGAAATTAAGATTTATGTGAGTGCAAAACAACAACCTCATATGACTCATAGAGTTTCGTGTTCTCCAAAGAGTGTCGGGATTGCTTGGCAATAGGCGCAAGAAGAGCATGTTGCGGCTTGGACTGAAAAGGATTTTTCGGTCCACGTTCCTGGCAAAAGTCTCTGTCAACTGCGCCACCTGCAGAGACTGACTCTCCTTGTATGCGGAATTCTTGTCCTTCAAGAGCGCCTAGAAAGCAAGGGCAAAGCAACTCAGAATGGTAGAAGGTGGTTCAAACCACTGCCTGTAAGCGCGCTCGCTGATTTTGGAGGACAATCTTCTGCAAGTGCGCGAAGTGTAGCTTGCCACCATTACTAGCACAGGTTTCAAGTCTGCCAATACTAGGATCAGCATGCACCATTATGAGCCATGTGTCTTGCCTTCCCATCTCTTGAAAGCACGGTCTGAGGAGATGCTTCACCTGCATTGATTGTATTTATTCTCATCAGAAGGCTCAATTTCAACCAGCTAAGGCCTCCTGCCAAGTGTAGTTATATACCATGGCTGCGGGCATCAAGCTATCAACAATCACCTGCCAAAGTAGGCATGGGCAAGAATAGGCAAGAACAAAGCGTGCGGTGACAAAGCAGGCATTCCTTCGACCTTTTGAGAAATGGATTCACCTTGACCTTGTTGATTTCACTTTATCCAAGCATCATCAATTGTGCCTCCACCGTCTCTCTTGGTTTCTTGAAGAGAGTGAAGAGCATCTGCAGTTTGCAATGCCACTGTATCTACTCCAATATATGCGAAGGCTGAAGACTGTAGATTCACAAATTTGACAGAGTGTTTGAAACCTGTTTTTCGAACAAAATAATGAAATAAATACACACACCTACTTAAAAAGACCAGCACATTCAAGCCAAAAGATCAGCCTCACGCGTCTCATGGTGAATCATTTGCCTGATCTCCAAGTCCTTGGTGGATCGCTTATCGGTGTTGCCAAACACAACTTCGCTCATCGGTCCCCACAGTGTGAATGTGAGATCCAGAAATCCCACCCCGCAGCTTTCCAGCCTGCACATGAAATTCGCGGTCCCAAACAGTTGTAGAAGAACGACTTCCAAAACGGTGGGCCATGAGAGGCTAGTAGCTTCAGTAGCTGCTAAGGCGCGGGGGAATAAGAAAAGCTCAGGCTTGCATGATCGATGTCCTAGACATATTTGAGAAACTTAACTTAGAGCAAGAGGAGCACCACACTGGATCAATGACTCAATGCTCGGCCTCATCCACAGGTCCGTACCGCGCAAAAAGCTCAAGGCGGCCAGTCGACTGGCAATGAAATGTGTGCAGAATGTTAATCGTTCGGCGCGCAAGTCAATCACAGTAATGATAAGAAAACTAAAAGCAGAACCCGGAAGCCTATGGAAATTCGCATGCGCTGGGGATGCCAAGGCATTGTACATGTGAACCGCTAGCAAGCACCATTGGCTCTTGTGAGAGTGCGATGATTCTTTCTAGAATCGGGGTTCTTTCACTGTTCTTTTCACGGGTGAACTTGGCAAGCTATGCTACACGTTTACTATGAAAGGACTTGCATTTGGTCGGTGATCATGATGCATGGACAATGAAGGTCAAACTGTGGTGTTGGCGATTGTCATCACGAAGCGATGAGAAATACCATGTCCCTCTAATGGACATACCGACCCCAAGACCAGTTCATAACATCGTGAAAGACTGCGTATGATGGATTTTGTTTGGAGAATGGTCCCTGAATGCGAATGCTTCCCTTGAGTAAGCCTCTGGATGTTCAAGACTGGTTGGAAATAGGAAGAGATGCAGCTGCTCCCTGCAGGAAAGGATCACTGCGATTGAAAGGGTCCACATGGCTTTCACGCAAAGCGGAGACGGTTTTGAGGTTGCAGCGGGGTGACGTCCTTGAGGACCCGAGATGGAGATGATCCTGTCACTGTGAATATGATGCCATGTACACTCTTCTCAAAATGCACAACTAGTGAAGTCTTCTTCAATGACCCAACTCTGAGCATCACAAAACTACCATTGCTTCTCTGGCACTCACAAATAGGTCAACACCCAAAGACGTTCCACCAAACAGGGCATCGCTACTAGGAGCAAGGACGCTACTAGGGGCTCCTGGCCATACTACTAGGAGCAAGAAGCTACTAGTGGCTCCTGGCATCCCTACTAATCGTAGGAGCAAGAAGCTACTAGGTGCATTGCATCACATCTTCACATCCAAACCGTCCTGTCACCCGTTGGGTTTTGGACTCGCTATGCATCATCAAGGGTGCCTGAACGATGAGAGCAAGCACTTCAGCGCAGAAGCCGATTGCTCTGAGGCTCAGGCGCCACTCGATCCTTCAAGACCCACGCTGCTTTTGCCGGCCTTTGGAAACCAATCAGAAGGATGCAAGGGCGGGTCACCCGATGGAAGACATTTGACCCTGCCTTGAGGCTGCCGGTGGCGGCTGCATTCTTGGTGGACATTGCCTGCACGAGGCTGTTCAAAAACGGGTGAGCCTCCAACTCAAACACGAATTATGTTGCGCAGGGCAAAGTGACAAAAGGTCATGACGTTGGAAAGGCGCTGAGAAAACTAAGCATCAAATAGCATCCAACCCGGTCAAAGTGTGTGCTAAAACCTCACTCCAACTGCAAGCCTGCGACATGACTGTCAGACCATGCTCATGCCGTCCATGCCACCTCTTGAGCCAATGGCCAGCCTCAACGATAGCCGAGCCTGGATTCTTGCATGAAGAAGCTCTCGACAGTATTCTGCCTTCTTTTTTGGCTGACATGTGTTAGGCTGACGGATCATCCACAGGTGGCCACCCTTGTGGCCAAATCGGCTCAAGACTGGCATACCCTCAGCAGTCTCGCGATGCCTTGCACACACTACTAAGATTGTAGATAGTATAAACACATTCATCCGTGGGCAGGCAAAAGATTAACTTCCTGTACTGAAGTTGACTTAACAAAAATAACAGTAACAATGGAAGCCAAGGCATGCATGATGATTTGCTGAGGATACTCGCAGATCATTGAAGAACATTAGCAATCGACTAGCGGGCAGGATAACGCCCTGAAACGGATTGTGATTGAATGTCACCGCAGCAAGAAGGGATCTTCCTCGGCGTCCTGCTCATAGTGCAGGGCATGCAACATTGGAAACAAGGGCCTAGGAAGCTTGGTTGAACTTTGCCCAACACACTCAGATTAAACTCACACCCGGACTAAACAACCTCAACTCTGTAGGCATCGCTACTAGGAGCAAAGACGCTACTAGGGGCTCCTGGCCGTACTACTAGGAGCAAGGACGCTACTAGGGCTGACAAGGTATGTCCTGAGTGCCATGACTGACTTGTTGTCGTTTCTTCCGCCGACGCATCAGCCGATGGTGAAGCATGGAAGCATTCGGTTCTCCACGAGCCCTTTCTAATGCAGTCAAACGCTGTTGATACTGCTCAGGTGTGTCATCTGGACCCCAAATGCTATAAGTCTCTTCGTCTTCGGTCTGAAAGAGTCTTTGGAAGGCAACAAGGCTCGAAGTCGCTGCTGCCAAGAACGACGATCCATGGTTCGTTCCATAAACAACAAATGAGTCAGCAGCCTCTGCAAACCCCGGCGGGTTGGCCCTCCTTCGTCCCAAGCGCACCAATGAACTTGCATCAGACAGCGCTACACTTGCAGATGAGGAAGCTGACTCTACTCCCGCGGAAACAAATGGAGAAAGCGTTCCCTGCGGAAGTGCTGTGGAATCAAGCTTGCCCTTTCTTCTGGCATACCTTTCCCGGCCTAGGGAGTGTGATGTCAACATTGGCATGGCCATGCCACTTTGTTGCTCGGCCTCAGGGTATTTTGCATTATCTTTGACATTCTCAGCGGTACCGGAAATGCTCATGCTCATGGACAGATTGCTGAGCAAACTTGTAACAACACCAGAAGCAGCAAAGAAAGTCTGCCTGTCTGGCCCTGCAATATTAGAATTAGAATGATCGTTTGCAACCAAGGAGGATTGACGTGCACATACTTCTTCTGGCTTCTGCTTCTGCTTCCTCTGAGCTCGTCGTGCACGTGCTGCAGATGGAGCAGGCCCGAGTGTGATACCCCGAGCTTCTTGTAGGTCATGCACTCGATTTCCGAAATCATCCGCTGTATCCTCATCGCCCCAAGCATTGTGAACTTCATCTTCACTTTCGGCTTTCTCACCACTAAACTTAAAATTTGTGAGGCTTGTAAAACCATTCACCATGCTCGCCATCAAATCTGTGCTTGTGGCCCCTCGTGTTCCTCCTTCTTCTTCTTCTGCCCTTCTCGTGCTCTGCTTTCTTTGGCTCAGCCGCATTCTTGCTGAGGACCCACTTTGCAAAAGATGCAAAGGGATCTGAAATTCATGTTTGTTGTTCGCCCCGCTGTCAGAGCGTTTTAGGGTGGATTGACATGTACTTGCCTGGTCCATTTCTCCTGGCTTCTGCTTCTGCTTCCTCTGAGCTCGTCGTGCACGTGCTGCAGATGGAGCAGGCCCGAGTGTGATACCCCGAGCCTCTTGTAGGTCATACACTCGATTTCCGAAATCATCCGCTGTATCCTCATCGCCCCAAGCATTGTGAACTTCATCTTCACTTTCGGCTTTCTCACCACTAAACTTAAAATTTGTGAGGCTTGTAAAACCATTCACCATGCTCGCCATCAAATCTGTGCTTGTGGCTCCTCGTGTTCCTCCTTCTTCTGCCCTTCTCGTGCTCTGCTTTCTTTGGCTCAGCCGCATTCTTGCTGAGGACCCACTTTGCAAAAGATGCAAAGGGATCTGAAATTCTCGTTTGTTGTTCGCCCCGCTTTCAGATTGTCTGTTGTGGGAAAGGTGTTCTACTAGCTTTGTGTCATGTACTTTGATGGTCGGAATATCATCCAGAATCAATTTCTCATTGCTCACCTGGGAAGCTATTCTGTGCTCAACAAAAGAAAAATGCAAAAGCTTCTGAAGCAACAAGAGAGTCTATGTCTTAAGGATAAAGCAAAACGCAATTATGCCTCAAGCTTCTCAAGGAGAAAGGCAGAGCCTCTGAAGCTGAGCCCTAAACCTCAGAAGACCAGTCGGAAGAATCTTCTCCTTCACCACCTGCAGCTCCCAGTGGCCAGTCCACTTGGCACATGAGTCCATCAAGTGGTAGATTGCTCGGATTCAGTTGCATTTGCTATCCACAAGATTCAACACAACAGTTGCCTTTTGTCACAAGCCAGGGTTCCAAAAAGCGTTCCTGGCCTTGACTGCCTGCATCAGCTTCAGGTTCCTTAGGTGTACGAGTCGGAACTCTGTTCTGAGAACACGCTTCACAAAGCCAGCCTGCCTCGCCAGCCTCGCCCTCAAGGCCAGGTTCTGGAGCAGGTTCAGATAGCAGAGGAGAACAAACACCTGGCTGTAGAAGAGGCATCGCAGCATCAAAGCCCGCATGTTGTGTCAACATGGTCGCATACCCACAGAAAAAGTGTTTGAAAGATACAGTTATTCAATTGCCAGGACCATGTGCTGAAGTACTATATCTCTCAAAACTTGTTCGTTCGAAGTCAAAGCCAGAACTGCTTTGTTGCGAGCAACTTGTTGTGGGCACAATCTGCTGCTTTTCGAGCTGGGGTGCCTAAGCTGTCTTCTGTCCACAACCCTCAACACATTCCCAAGCAATCTCTAAGCTGTATGCCAAGCTGGCAGGAGGGAGTGTTTTGGCAGCTGTTGCACAATTGCCAAGCCTGGAGAGAGCAAGCTCCATCAGTGTTCAAATGCAGTGGCATACCAGGTCTCACTTGAAAACCTTGTCTTCAAACAAATCTTGGTTCCCAAAATTAAAAATGGTCCTGTTCCTCTGTGGTTCAGCGCAAGCAGTCTGAGTCTGAGCGAAGGACTCTATGGGCTCCTTCAAGGTCGTCACACTGCGAGCCTCAAATTTGATGCCGCTCTCCCACCGCTATCGGACAGTTGGAAACTGTTGCAAATCTCAAGACGCGAAACGCGGAATCTCCGAAACGTTTTACAAAGAACTCGTGCTTTCGCACACAAACCAACATCCCTGGAGCGAATCCTCCCTTGTCACCATGGCACGGCTGTTGCCCCGAGGTGGACATCCCGGAGCAAATTCCAGCGCTCTTTTCCTCGAGGTCGTGGTGGTGGTGGTGGTGTAGAACTTTGCAAGCTCATCAGCTCATCAACCACTCAACATTCATGCGCGGGCCGGACAGTGGCACGCTAATCATTATCCTCATGTCCAAATATATTTATCTCATGCACCACAGTGTACAGGCATGCTTCATGTGGTCTCTACTTCAAATTGCCATTGAAGTGCTTTTGGCTGAAGTGTTCTAAATTGGCCACAATTGGACCCTCTTGACACAGGCCAAAGCGATCCAAGCAGGCCAGTCAGTCTTTTTGTCTGTCCGAAAAATCATCCAAATCCGCACTTGATTTCTGACAACTGAACGAAATGGCATCCCCTGTCGCAGAAGCGACGTGAATCTCTTGTTTTCGACATATTTTGTGTCGTTCTGGCATAAACAATGTTCATTTTACTGCCTGTTGCGGTGTGAAACTCCACTTCGATGCCCCGAACATGAGACAAGAATCAATGAAAGACTCAGCGAACAGGTGAAAACCATACACAACAGAAAACATGTTCTTCTGCCTTGAAAGAAAAGCATCGTCATCTTGAAAAGACATTGTTGTGCGAACTGTACGGCGTTGCAAGCTAACCTTCCAGTCATCGGGCCTTGGAACACTTCTCTCAGTCTTTTCATGCTCAAATGGCGTGGACAGCACCTTCGCACAATCATGCTTGCGAGGGACAAAATAAAGCAAGCATCCAGGAATATTCGGATATATTGCACTTGAACTGCAGTAACTGGGGTGAACGAAAGCTAGCAAGGCTAGAGGAGAAGAGCGGCACAGCAGCAGCCGCTGTGGCAGCGGCGGCGGCAATACAGCAACAGCAGAACGGCAGCAAAGCAATTGTTACTACTGCTGCTGCACTTGCAGCAAGTAAGTGTGGCATGTGAGTGAGACCTAAAGTGAACGTGCACTACATGAGTCCGTTCATGATTCTAGATCTGGAAATTTGTTCTCTATACTTTGCTTGAATGGTTGGGTCCCAACTCGGTCGTAAAGCAGCACCAGACCAGCAGCAAACCAGCAGCAGCACACCAATAGCAATTGACAACACCAGCAGAAAACCAAGATCAGTCAGCAACAGTTTGTCCGCTAAAGCCTCTATGATTCAAAGGAAAAAACGCACGATGAAACACACAAACAACAAATTTGAAAGCACTTCACTTATCTACAAAATGCCATGCACAAACCCCAGGTTTTAATGGTCAGTGAGGCCGATAAGCATCATCTAGGGAGATTTGCCAAGCCCCGCATCGCTAAGAAAGTAAATTAGGAGGGTGAGACACCACAAAAGGTGAGACAGGGAGTGAAACGGCTCTTAGAGGAAGAAAGACACTATGAGGCAGTGGTAACTTGTGGCCCAGAGCGGGGTGGCGAAAGCTAGGCAAAGAAACAACGCTGGGGCTCTTTTGGCAGGAAAAGCCTGGCCGGGAATCGCAACATGCCATGGCCAAGGGAAAAGGAGAGTGCCAACAGTGCCCCCCCATACGACCCCAACACAGCCAACACATGGCAACACACAACCACCCCAGCAACAGCAGCAGCAGCGGCAGCTGCTACCAAGCAGCAGCAGCAGCATCATCAGCAGCAGCCACCAAGCAGCGGCAGCATCAACAGCAGCTACCAAGCAGCAGCAGCAGCAGCAGCAACAGCTACCAAGCAGCAGCAGCAGCAGCAGCAGCTGCCACCAAGCAGCAGCAGCAGCTATCAAGCAGCAGCAGCTACCAAGCAGCAGCAAGCAGCCAGCAGCAGCAAGCAGCAGGTACCCGGCAGCAGCAGCAGGTACAGTACCAAGCAGAAGCAGCAGCAGCAG